TCATGAGAGTTCTTTTGAACTTTTGAATGGTCAAAATCATTAAGTTATTTACATATTTTATCTTAAATATATTTAATGCATCTACTTCCTGGAAAATTGGTAATGCATGTCGTACAAGATAGAATTACTCTTCATAAAATACTTTCTAGATATTTGGGAAACCAGAGGAATTTTTAATTGCCTAACCAACCAAAAAAATGCAAATGCACACACGAAAATTCCCATTTATATTAATGAATGAACTTCTGTAAAGGGGTAAATTTTCATAAACATGTTTCATGAAAAACTACTCTCTTTCATCATCAGAAGAAAACTTTTTGTGGAAGGACAGGAAAAGTCAAAGAATTTATAGAAAGAAGATCAATAATCATCAAGCCAGGGATGGAAGGGTCTCAAGGTTCTAATCAAGGATGGAGAAAAAACAAAAACAAAAACAAAGGAGGGAGAGAGGACAAGATGTAGATGAAACCATAGTAAGTTGCTGAAGCAAATGGAGACTATGCAAGAGGAAATCCTGCATAGATGTTCAGCTCATAAAATTGGGGCTCATCACACACTCCAAATGTGTTCCTCTACATTTCCCTGCTTCCCTTATAGCCAGGTTGGGGTAACGTGACTATTACTGGCCTAATGTACTATGAGTAGTAGTGATGTAGGAGGTATTTACTGTTACTAACCCTGATAATACAACATGACACTTGCAGTGGGACATTCACAGTCTCTCTCTCTCTCTCTCTCTCACACACACACACACACACACACACACATACATGCGTGCCAGCTGATAAACAGTAGATGCTCCATAATTATTGATCATTTTTTGAATATGCAAAGCCCAACTGTATCTTGAGACATTTCTTTGATACCCACACAAAGCAATACAAATCCTTCACCTGACTTGAAAAAGAAATAGAAAACAATTTCTGTAAAATGCTATTTGTCTGTGCACAATGTGCCTGTGACTGTTCACACTGATGTATTTGAACAGAATTCCTTGAAAACAATGATGTGAGGCCTGAGTCCAGAATTCGTCAAACTATGTGTACCGTGAATGTGTACAGTGAACTTAATGGTAGGGATGATGATTTCCCTCCATAAGGCTGCATTTACCTTTGCTACATTATAGAGTCAATAAGCCATGCGTAAAGTTGTATTAATGGTTTCCGTGGTTGAGTTCCTAGTTTATCTGCAAACCAAGAATGGGTTGGATATTTTATAGTATATGCCTTGCTGACTTAATTTAATCTATCAGTGTTCAGAAGGAAACAGGTAATAAAGGCTAAGAGATAAACAATTTTGACCAAAATGTTTTTGCTTTTTTTTCTTTTATTTAGTGTTTTCAGTAACCTTTTCTTAGACACAAAATACTGACCAGCATGGTACCTTGTGAATTTTAATACTAACCATGCAACATTAAGAGAGCAAAAGGAATTGAACTATTGTAAGGGCTTTTAAATCATGAAAAGGAAAACAATATATCCATAGAAACAGTGATATGTTATAATGAAAAATCAACACACACTATGAACAAATGACTATAAGAGTCATGTCGTTATATGTTTAATGACTTAATACCTTTAAAAACTTAATGATTAGGGGCACCTGGGTGGCTCAATGGGTTAAGCCTCTGCCTTCAGCACGGGTCATGGTCTCAAGGTCCTGGGATCAAGCCCTGCATCAGGCTCTCCGCTCAGTGGGGAGCTTGTTTCTCCCTCTCACTCCGCCTGCCTCTCTGCCTACTGTGATCTCTATCAAGTTAATAAATAAAATATTAAAAAAATAAATAAATAAAAATTTAATTATCGAATAAACATATTTTTAAAGGACATGGGTAAAATCCAGGATAATACCATTTTTTTCAAAATTATTTTCCTGAGTGGAAGATAGGCTGATTAATGAGTCAAGACAAGTTTCAAAGCAAACATTCTAAAAAATTGTTTAACACTTACTACTTCACCCAAATAACTGGCTAGGGAAGTGGCCTCAACAGGTAGCACTAGATTCTCTAAGAAGACACATGGCAAGGACTCTTTCAACCACTTCGAAGTGGAAGTACCTGCATCAGGGTTGTCTCCCAGCCTAGGGGGCAAGTAGCACTTCTCTGCCCTCCTTCTGCACAATAGGGAACACTAACTTATGAGGAGTAAAGGGTACAGTAGAACATTTTACCTCAAAATATATTTTCATGTCATAATAATCTCTGATGCCACTGCCTTCAAGCCAAGGGTTTTTTTTTCCCCTTAGAATATTATAAAATTTGATTTTTGAAAGCATGAGTTCTGTACATCATAAATCAAATAGCTGTGCATATTTCATTGGAATTTTTATTTTGATATTTAAATATCATAAGAGAATCATTATGTAACTTCTGAGTTAAAATTATTTTATTTGGAAAAATCTATAGTTCTGATTCCTAAAAGAAGTAATATGTACTATTAACTATGAAAATGAAATTTTAATATTTAGATAAATCCTGTTTCTATGATTTGGGATAGGAATTTTCATGTGTAAGGCACCCATTATCTGCTTAGAGTTTCACTATATTATGAGACCCACTTAACTTACTGAGGTTCACAGAAACATGTAGACGAAGTTGTGTCATATGAAGTCACCCTTCTGAATACTAGAATATTCTGAATAGAAAGTCTAAAGTTTTTTAATACATAATATTCTTCAAAATAATCAAGGTTAATTTAACTTAATATTTCGATTTAATATTAAAACAAAACAAAACTATTTCAACACCAAACTCTGAAGTTCACCTTTCTCAAGCAGAAATGGAAGACAAAATTAATTTATACATAAACGTATTTTTATTGTTTTCTCTGAAGGGTGTCCTTTACAAAGGCGTATCTCTCAACAGTGAGTATGGAAAGAGGACTTGGGATTGCAAATGTATTTGCACACAGCTTTAGGAGGAATGGTATTTTAAGAGGATATTTCAAAGGCTCTTAACACCATGGTTACTCAAGAAGCAGTGAAAGCTCTTTCCTTGGATCCTATATTTTAATTAGGTGGCATATTCAGTTTTTGTTGTAGGAAATCCTGGAAAGCTGGGAATGGGAGAGGAGTCCTACAGACCCCGGGGCCAGGGGCAGGGTTCTCAGGGTTCCGCTCCTTACTCATTCTCACGTACTTAGGGACTCTGTGGAAGCAGATACACTTCTCCCCGGGGGGCCTGAATCATCCATCAGCTTCTAACGTTTGAGGAGTCAGACACAATTGAGATTCCAAGAAGACGGAAAGAGCGAGAACGACGAGCAAGCACCCTGCGGGAGAGCAAAGGGCTTCAAAGGTCAAGTTCCCGAAACGCTCCTCCCCTCCAGCTCTTTCTTGCTCGGCCGGTGCGGGTGACAGATTGGAGCGGTGCGTCCCGGCGGAGAGAAGCCGTCAGCCTCCGGGACACCCGCAGTTTCACACGCCGGCTCTTCCTCATCTCGCTGGAGAGGAGCGAGGCGCAACCGCCTGCGCAGGAGCAGCCCCGGCAACCCCGGCCGAGGGGCTGCAGCGAGCGCCGCTCCCGGGCCCTGCCGGGGCGCGCAGCTGCGCACGAAGGCGCCAGGCGGCGGGGTGGGCGGCTGCGCGGTCCCCGCGTTTGGCACTCCCCGCTCCCACAGAGCTGCCCAAGTTCGAGAACGGGTCTCCCGTCTCCTCGGGGTACAGTCTGCATCTTCAGAGTGAACCCCGGAAGGGGCAGCCCAAAAAGCCAAGCCTGCCTTTCCCCCTGCCCCCGCCCGCTCCCCCACACCTGCGTCCACCAACTCCTGACCAGGCGACTTCTGGGTGCGTAGTGATCCGTCCTCTTTGGGGGGTTCTGCGCTACCAGAGATATATTTAGCCTTATTTTTCTTTTTTTCCTTTCTGAGTGAGGAAATAAACGAACTTCTCGCTCCTTTTCTTTCCAAGTTGGAGGATTCATCCAGTCAGCAGAGAACGCGGGCAAGGTTCTCGTTCAAGGCCGCTCTGCCCCAGGATTCCGGAGCTTCGCCGAACTGGAACTTTGAGAACAGGGAGGTACAGAAACAGCCCAGGGAATCCGGGTAAGGGGCCCTTTCGCCCCCCAACACCGAGCTTCCCTTCCTGCTCTGGTCCGGCCTGCCAAGGTCGTTCCGGGTCGGCCACCTCCCGCAGCGCGCGCGGGCCCCACGGCCTCCGCCGCGACCCCCGAGCGTCGCGCCCACGCTCCCTGGGCTCCGCCAAGCCCGGGCAGCTCGGCGCCCGCCCCGCCCCTCCCGCCTCTCGGCTCCACACCGGGTCCTCGGAGACCGTCGGCGCGTCCCTCTTACCTCCCGGTCTGGACACGAGAGAACTTCTGAACCCCCGGGGGGTCTGCACTGTTCCTCTCCCAAGTCAGGCGGAACATCTTTCACGAGAAAACTACGACAAGGTCTCCATAAACTTTGCTGTCGCGAACGCTAGCACACACCTGCCTGCACACGGGCGCAGGTACACCTGTCCGGGCGCGCGAAGGGCCAAGGAGCCTGCCACTGGGCAACTGCTCAGGGCGCAGTAAAGTCGGGGACGCGCGGCGCGGGTAGGGCATCGAAAGAGAATTTCGAAATGGGCTCGGGAAGCGGGGACTAGAAAATGGTGATTCTAGATGCACACACAGGAGGGTCCGTGCACCTCCTGCACGCCGCGCGAGCCTCCGGGAAGGCGCACACTTTGAGAACAGAGCGCTGTGGGCTGCACTACACATAAGGCCCCGCCGAGGCAAATTCATCTTAAAACTGACAGTCCCTTTCGTCTACACGACTTCCCAGTCTGGTCCACACCAGCGCCGTGCACGTGAGGATGGGGACCCGGGCGCTCCCGGAACCCTCGACCCGGTGTGCAGAGCCCCCCGAGGCAGGTGCGGGCCCCCACACCGGCCGAGCAACAAGCGGGCTGTCAGCTCTTCGGGCCGGGTCCCTCTATGCCCCCGTCCCCGCGCGGGTCACCTCTCCCCGCCGCCCCCCGCCCCCCACCACAGCCGGCCGCGCCGAACGCGAGCAACTCACCCCCAGCTTCCTGCTGCGGATTTTCACGTATCCCTGCTTGACTATGTCGTTAAAGTTGGAGGCCATGGCCAGCGCGTTCGGGCTCGTTCCCTCCGCGATCGGCTTCCCGGAGTCGAGAGCCGCCGTCCGCCGCCGGGTCCGCGCAGGTCTCGCATCCAGCCAGCAGCCGCCACAGCCGCGCCGCCGCCCGGTTCCCCGAGCTCCCGCCGGCGGGGACGCGGGCTGGTGGCAGGGCGGCCGCGGACGGGGAACGCGGCCCGGCGCCGCGAGCAGCGCCCGCCCTCCTCGTTCCGGTCCTCACCTCCGCCCCCCGCCGCGAGCCGAGCGCCGGGCCCGCGCCGCCGCCAGCTGCGGGCGCCCCCACCGCGCCGCCGCCCCCGGCAGCACCCACGGGCTGGCGCCTCACTCGGCGGCGCACAGCTGGCCGGAGCGCACCCGCGCGGCTCCCCGGCGCGGGGGGAGGGGCGCGGGGGGGTGGGGGGGAGGCGGGCCGAGTCGCCCGCCCGGCTCCCTCCTCCTGGCCCGCGGGGTGGCTGCGCTCGGAGATGCTCGCAAGACTCGCTTCCTCCCTCGCAACTCCGGCGGGGAGCTCCTCCCGCTCCCCGCGCCCGGGGTCGCACCCCCCGCCCCCCACCCGGCTCCCTCTGCCCGCATTGCTCTCCCGGGTGCGGGATTCCTGAGGACACGGCTCCTCATTCCGGGGCTCTCAGTGTCCACTCCCCAGCTGCACACCGGGGAAAGGGCGGCGGGGATGCTCGCACAGAGGAGAAGGCAAACGGCAGCGAGACGATTGTTTATTTCGGTGGCCTTGTGTACGTGCATTTTTGTTCCTAAGCACACGCTCGCCTTCCAGGTCTTTGCCCCGTTAGGAAGTGCAAACCGACGCGGAGCCCATCCTGGTGCACACAAAGAGACCAACCGTGCGCATGTGTCTAATCCCTCTGCTGCTGGGGAGACCGGAGCAGTCGGGCGAGGCAGCCCTTCGCCGACGTCCTCTCGCCAAGCAGCGGCGAGGAGCCCCGGAGTGGGCTGATTTATGCACGCGTTTCAGTTAACTATGACTCAAAGTGCCTCGTGGCTTTTCATCTTCTGGAGGAAATGGAGACCATTACTATTCCTGGTGGATGCAGATGATTTATGGAAATGTGCAACTTGTTAAATGAAAACAATGGAGAAACAAACCCCTCTTTACTTAGGAACTCATAACATTCAAAAGTAGGCTATTCCCTAGTGTAAAGAAATTTTAATTTAAAAATTATATCATTTTTATAAGATGCGAGGAAAAAATAGGGAGTATTGAATTCTAACTGGAGGCAATGTATGGGTTTTTGCTATAGGCAAGACTATTTAGTACCTAGAAGCTCAGGATGATATTCTTTAAGAAAAAAATATAAACCGTGTAAAGATTGAAATTTTATAAATGACTCATTCATTTATAAAGAGTCTATATTTGATAAAATTTCAGAACATTATGTTTCTTTTCTCGCTTACCATAGCGAGCAGTATCTTCCCATGTTTTCAGTTAAAATTTCTTTCTGCCCTATTGAGAACATAATCATTTTAAGAGAGAAAGAAAACTACTTGATTGAAGGGAGGAAAAAATCTGAAAGTTAAGGAACAATAGCATGTCCCTTGCCCCAACCAAATAGGCACCCCTAAAAAAAGTTGATATTGTGCCATCGTTAGCAAGAGCCTTCATCTGGAATCCATCCAACTCTGCGGACACTTTAACTTGCCTTAACAGCATATTATTCCGCCGCCTTCATTTATGCAACAAACGTTGGTTTGGACTCTCCACCACGAACAGTACCAGATGCTGAGGCAGGTATTTCGAATCAAAGGCAGGATCTCTTAGGATGTAACTCTGGAAGAAACTCAAGCTCCGACCTTCCCAGAAAATTTACATAAACTCCCTCTTGGTTTGGTGTGATTCCCGCCCTGAAATACCTGGGACTATGTTGTCTGTTCCAATCACTTGTTGCTATTATGTATACTACCTGGTTATAATTTCTTTATGTGAAGACTGATTTATATTTGCAGATGCTTTAAATACATTATTTCATTCAGTCTTCTTGCAATGCCATGTGTTAAGCAAAAAAAAACAGAACGAAAACTTGCCATTTAATAGATTAGGAAACAGAGGCTCTGAGACAGACATTCAGTTGTAGAGACACTGTTTCTAGACTGGTTTGGGGTCTATAATAATTTCTATGACCCCTAACTTTCCCCATCATTTATAGAATAATCTGTTTCTACAAATCAGTTGTGAGGTCTTTGAAGTCAAAGATTAATTTTCTCAATAATAATCGCAGTGTGTACTTAAAGGTGAGGTACATTTTATAAACCTGCTTTTAATAATTATATAATGATTATACTTTTGCTCACATACCTATATAGGTCTTTATAACACTCTAAGATGATTTAAATATTCCCCTACAGTTACTTTAGATTCTTAAATTTCTGATGGAGCAGTGTGTGTGTGTGTGTGTGTGTGTGTGTATGTGTATTGTGTGTGTATATACAATTGATTGTATCCTCATGGCCTCATTTATTGTAGTCATCTAAGTCTCAAACTTCTGTTATGTAGTAATGTGACTTAGAAATGTGAGGACATTTTTTTTTCCAGAGTAATTCATAAGAAGTGCTATATGTATTCAATTAAATCACATTAAAAAAAGAACCAAAAAGTTTGACTGCTCCATTGATTAGAGGGCTCAAGAGTTGTCAGCCCAATACATACATTAGAAAATTCTCCACCAAATGTCTACCTAATGGCTTTTCAGCCTTGGGTGATCATTGCATTGATACATTATTTCATTAGGGTTTGTAAAATTGTCATATTCTGATTTGATTTTATTCCTGAATTTATAAACTATTATCTTTTAAAACTTTAGGATTGTCTTGAAATCAATTCCTTATAGAGAATATGCTTGATTCTTAACCCTTAACAACCATTTTTCAGAAATATTGAATATGTTCTAGCAAACACAAAAGAATACCCTCCTCCCTTAGAAATATCTTTAAAAATGGAGTTTTGTATATGTAATGCATTTCAACCCATCAGAGTCATTATTCTTTTGGGGATTTTAATTGCCTGGTCTTTAACCAGAAGGAGCTGCTTCACTTGACATCTTTGTGTTTTTATCAAGTACCCATGGACCTTAATAGCTTTGTTGTGATCAATCACAAGATATTCCCCATTCATCTTGTACATTTCCAGCTCTAGACCTGGAATCCATTCTTTTCCCTAGGAACCTTTGTTTGTCTTAATGGGAAATGAAATTCAGTTCCCATAATCTGATTACTAGGGTGTTATTTTTGCTACTGATTCTAAGCTTTTCAGCTACAGGAACATGAAATACTTTTATTTTAGAAATATATTTCAAAAGAGAAAAATTCTCAGTTTTATGGATGGCTCCAATTCAATTGTTGTTGATACTACTGTTGAAGTATATAAGCAAAGATCTCATCTTTAAGGATTGCTTCTTTTCTTTTGAGATTTTCATTATGTGAAATAGTTAACATATTTCCAACAATCAAACCTACCAAACAAGGCACGTAGAGAGATATAGTTCTGATTTTGTCCCTTCCTATTTTCTACCTCTCTTTTTAGGAAACCATTTTTATTAGTTTTTGTTTTATCCTTACATTGTCTCATTTTGATGATATAAGAAAAGATATATGTGTTTCTATTTCTGTTTTTCTTACACACAGGAAAATAGCATACTACTCATAATCTTATCATTATAGTAGATAGCCTCCAAACTAGGCCCCCAAAGATCCCCAGGTTTTAATATAATGCCCCATAGAATTTCTCCGAGTGTGGGCTGAACTTTTTGACTAGCTTCTAGTGACTAGAATGGCAGAAGTGATGGAGTGCCTTTTCTAAATTAGGTTATAAAAAGACTGTAACTTCAATTAGGGTGATCTTTATTGTATTGCTGGCCCTGGAGGAAGCTAGCTGCCACAATATGAAGCAATCCTGTGCAGAGACCTTTGTGAGTGAACCTAGGGATAGATCATCCAAGGCTTTCCAACAGCCCTGTGAGGGATCCTCCCCCAGGGAAGCCTTTAGGTGAGCACACCTTGCCCAACGCTGAGAGACCCTGAGCCAGAACCAGCCATCTAAGCTTCTACTGGTTGTTCCTAAATAATGAATGCTGTAAGACACCAAAAGTTTGTATTCATCTTTCCATATGCTGACTTTGGGGGCATTTTTTAAATGTATAAATGGGTAACTGAAATCTATTTTGGTATGTGGAAATAAGGTGCATGGCTTTGCATCCACCAGTCGCCCTGAGAAAGGTGTTAGTGAGGGTTTCAAGGCTTGCAACCTTGCAGACAAATTGCAAAATGTCGGACGTTGAGGACACTGTGAGTGAGATCTTACAATAAAGTGAGGAAAATATTACTGAAATTGGAGGAAGGAGCCCTATTATATGTGGAAGCAGGAAACTTAGCTGAACTGTTCCTGTAGCTCTGTGGAAATTAAAATATTTACCCACTAAACTGTGTCATCTAGATAAGATTTCCAAACAAAGTGTTGGTGTTGTAGTCTTCTTCTTGATACTTAGTAAAATGAGAGCAGAGAGGGATAAACTGAGGGGAGGATCATTAAACAAAAAGGAGCCAAGAACTGATATATTTTTTTAAAGATTTTATTTATTTATTTATTTATTTATTTATTTATTTATTTATTTCAGGGGTGGGGGGAGTACATGCACAGGGAGAGGGGCAACGGGAGAGAGAGAATCTCAAGCAGACTCCACACTGAGCTAGGAACCCATCACAGGGTTCAGTCTCCCAACCCTGAGATCGTGACCTGAGCCAAAATGAAGAGTCAGATGCTTAAACTACAGAGCCACCAGGGGACCCAAGAATTAATGGTTTTAAACATCCCCAGCTCCTCCAAACTATAACAATGCCAGAATGAAGAAATGACTTCTGAACAAAGATAAATCCTGGGCACCGCTGTGAACATTTGGTCTAAAGATAAAAGCCAAAGGTGTGACTCTAAGACATGTATTTTTTTTTTTAAGATTTCAGGAAATCAATTATTTTATGGTCGCTTCTTTGTCTGTATCCTTAGACCAAATTTTCATGACAGTGCTCTGGATTTGATCTAATAAAAAGATTCATAGGAAACCCACAAGGTTTTCAAAAGAGGCATAGGTGAGAAGCCTTATCAGGCAAAGACTGAGAAGGAGGAGATGCATTTGGACTCCCAGCCTTCTACCAGCAGGAAGCAGTGGAAGACTGAGAGAACA